TAGCCTGGGGTAGAATAGTAACTGAGTAATCATTTGTCCAAGACTTTATCAGGAGACAATTTTTAGGTCAGATTTGGTACGATTTGTCAGTAAACAGGACAGGTGTTTCCTAATGCGGGTCTTAGTCATATGATAACCCGCACTGGAGCTATTGGTCATCTGACCGAGGCCTTCTACTGGCTTACCCCTCCATCCCTTTAAAAATTAAGGTTAAAATTTGTTTATGGTGAACACAATACCATCATATGTCAACAGTCGGTGCATGACCCTGGCTGGTCAATATGCTTTAGATTATCATTTTAACCATGGAAGGAGGCGCCAAACACGAAGGGGCCATACAGATCCTGGGAAATGGAAGGAAATCCTGTTTGGTCCAAGAAAGGTGATGGTAGCTTCAATTCCTTGAATTAAGAGCCAGGATCAAGGAACACCGTTTTGGAGGGAATATGGGTTGGTGAGGCTATATGACCCTTATGGGTCATACAGAAGATATCTGAGAGACTTCTACGAATAAGTGGACCTTGATGCCTGCAAAGGGCGCTTGATCCAAGAAACTGGAGCTACCCTCTCCTTCCTCAAATCAAACATGATTACTACCAGTAAATATAAATAGTATTTGACAAGATTGAGGGACCCCAATAGAAATACGACAGACAGTTCTCGATGACGCAGTTACTTTCCTGGGTAGCAAACCCTCCGAGCTTAAAAATCCCAACAAAATTTGATCCAATCTGGGATCGAACCCGAGACACTTCGGTTGCGAACAATCTCACCACTGAGCTACGTCTGACGTCACACCTTAAGAGGAATAATGACAGCTAAAGCTGCACTTTAGCTGGAACATTTTCCTTAGTGTCGCCACATTGTCTGTGTCAGCTTGAGAATGTTTATCAATAATTTAATGTTTACCCGGACGCTTAGCGCAGCGCTGCCACTTGTGCGCCATTATCCAATTTCCAACAACACTTTTCTCGTATTATTAACCCCGGAGGATTATTAACCCTGAGGATTGTTAACCCTGAGGAATATTAACCCTGATTATTATTAACCCCGGAGGATTATTAACCCTGAGGATTGTTAACCCTGAGGATTATTAACCCTGAGGATTGTTAACCCTGAGGATTGTTAACCCTGAGGAATATTAATCCTGATTATTATTAACCCCAGAGGATTATTAACCCTGAGGATTGTTAACCCTGAGGATTGTTAACCCTGAGGATTGTTAACCCTGAGGATTGTTAACCCTGAGGATTATTAACCCTGAGGATTGTTAACCCTGAGGATTATTAACCCGGAAGATTATTAACCCTGAGGATTGTTAACCCTGAGGATTATTAACCCGGAAGATTATTAACCCTGAGGATTGTTAACCCTGAGGAATATTAATCCTGATTATTATTAACCCCAGAGGATTATTAACCCTGAGGATTATTAACCCCGAAGATTATTAACCCTGAGGATTATTAACCCCGAGGATTATTAACCCTGATTATTATTAACCCCGCAGCGCTGTATAGCCCTTGTGGCTTAGCGCTTCTTTTTGATTATAATAATAATAATATTATTATTAACCCCAGAGGATTATTAACCCGAGGATTATTAACCCTGAAGATTATTAACCCTGAGGATTATTAACCCCAGAGGATTATTAACCCCGAGGATTATTAACCCCGAGGATTATTAACCCTGAGGATTATTATCCCCGAGGATTATTAACCTCTGAGGATTATTAACCCCGAGGATTATTAACCCTGAGGATTATTAACCCCGAGGATTATTAACCCCCGAGGATTAACCCTGAGGGTTATTAACCCCAGAGGGTTATTAACCCCGAGGATTATTAACCCTGAGAATGATTTACCCTGAGAATTATTAACCTCGAGGATTATTAACCCTGAGGGTTATTAACCCTGAGGGTTATTAACCCCAGAGGGTTATTAACCCCGAGGATTATTAACCCTGAGAATGATTTACCCTGAGAATTATTAACCTCGAGGATTATTAACCCTGAGGGTTATTAACCCTGAGGGTTATTAACCCCAGAGGGTTATTAACCCCGAGGATTATTAACCCTGAGAATTATTAACCCTGAGGATTATTAACCCTGAGGATTAACCCCAGAGGATTATTAACCCCAAGGATTATTAACCCAGAGGATTTTCTAGCATTTTTAATAATATTTAATTTACACAAAATTGATCTTTTCATAGGTAATATAACTATCAGAAGAATTTTGAATTTGTAGACCAAGGTATTGGTAACTTTCGTGTGTTGGAATAAACCAGAGGTCTATATTAGTCCCTTCTAGAGTATTTAATGATATTCTTGCTTTATCTAGATAATTGTAGTGATATGTAAGTCGCACGCGCGCACGCACTCAAAATATGTCGCGTCTATCGACAAGTGCCTTTGACACTGATACTGATCAAGGTGGTCTGGGAAGCGGGGTCAAGAGCTAAGTATCAACCCCCTCACGCACGCATGCGTGTGCAGTAATACGAATGTATCTGCAGATGATGCAAAACCCTATCCATAGTAACTAATGTAAATGACGGTAAATCCCTTCCTTAAACCAAGTAAATGGAACGAGAAAGATGGAATCCAGAGGTGATAAGTGACACGCAATGGAAATGAGAGAGAGATCAGCCAGGGAACAGTTGGGAGTCGAACCTGTATGTCAAGCAGAGCTAGAGATCAGCCAGGGAACAGTTGGGAGTCGAACCTGTATGTCAAGCAGAACTAGAGATCAGCCAGGGAACAGTTGGGAGTCGAACCTGTATGCCAAGCAGAGCTAGAGATCAGCCAGGGAACAGTTGGGAGTCGAACCTGTATGTCAAGTAGAGATAGATATCAGCCAGGGAACAGTTGGGAGTCGAACCTGTATGTCAAGCAGAGATAGAGATCAGCCAGGGAACAGTTGGGAGTCGAACCTGTATGTCAAGCAGAGATAGAGATCAGCCAGGGAACAGTTGGGAGTCGAACCTGTATGCCAAGCAGAGCTAGAGATCAGCCAGGGAACAGTTGGGAGTCGAACCTGTATGTCAAGCAGAGATAGAGATCAGCCAGGGAACAGTTGGGAGTCGAACCTGTATGTCAAGCAGAGCTACCTGGAGGTTACCTGGAGGTTATTCCGGGGATCAACGCCCCCGCGGCCCGGTCCATGACCAGGCCTCCCGATGGATCAGGGCCTGATCAACTAGGCTGTTACTGCTGGCCGCACGCAGTCCGACGTACGAGCAACAGCCCGGCTGATCCGGCACTGACTTTAGGTATCTGTCCAGCTCTCTCTTGAAGGCAGCCAGGGGTTTATTGGCAATTCCCCTAATGCTTGATGGGAGGCTGTTGAACAGTTTTGGGCCCCGGACACTTATGGTGTTTTCTCTTAGTGTACCAATGGCGCCCCTACTTTTTATTGGCGGCATTTTGCATCGCCTGCCCAGTCTTTTACTTTCGTAGGGAGTGATTTCTGTGTGCAGATTTGGGACCATTCCTTCCAAGAATTTCCAAGTGTAGATTATGATATATCTCTCCCTCCTGCGTTCCAACGAGTACAAGTCAAGTGCTGCCAAGCGTTCCCAGTAGTTAAGGTGCTTGACAGAACTTATACGTGCAGTAAAGGATCTCTGTACACTCTCTAGATCTGCGATTTCACCTGCTTTGAATGGAGATAAGCTAGAGATAAGCCAGAGAGTCGAACTTGTATGCCAACCAGAGATAGAGAGATAAGACGTCACATGAAGATTATAGAGTCTAGAGAATAATCTAGAGATAATTATATATTAAAGTGTCACCGAATGATTATTATTATTATTATACTATTCCTGGGAAGCACTAAACCTGTACGGATCATACACTTCCTAGGGCAAACGTATTAATGAGTGATTCTCACACTCTCGATCCGAGGAAGGGGAAGATAGCTCAGATTCCTTGGATCAAGAAACCTTCATACAGCCTAAAAATAAAAATATTCTACTAATAATGGTAGAATTACCCACAAAATGTAAGGTAAATGTACACAGATGCAACTAATGTGACATTTTATTGTGACAACGTTTCGCTCTTCAGGAATTTTGTCAAGCCGTTACCAAGCCGGCTTGAAAAAAAAATTCCGTAATGAATGGTTGGCCAAATTATGATATTTAGCAGCACAATTCGTGGCTTCTCTCAGTATTACATTGTAGAAACCAAAGCCAACACTCACAATCCATCATGACACAGGGTCCAGGAGCATGGACTCGACCCTTGCAACCTCAACTAGTTGAGTACACAGGATGGTTTGCATAGATGAGGTAATGAAAATAAGCCACTTTGACTCTTTTGGGGCTCTCCTGGGTTCTGTGCACATATGCTGCTATGTATGATAATCCGTGTAAACCTGTAAACTGTAAACTTGTGTCAATCTGAGCTGGATGACTTTAGTAGAGCAATGAGGATGGTGAACCAGTTAGCTGGTCCAGTGTGATGCTGGAGGGATGGTGAGCCAGTTAGCTGGTCCAGTGTGATGCTGGAGGGATGGTGAACCAGTTAGCTGGTCCAGTGTGATGCTGGAGGGATGGTGAACCAGTTAGCTGGTCCAGTGTGATGCTGGAGGGATGGTGAACCAGTTAGCTGCTCCAGTGTGATGCTGGAGGGATGGTGAACCAGTTAGCTGGTCCAGTGTGTGATGCTGGAGGGATGGTGAACCAGTTAGCTGGTCCAGTGTGATGCTGGAGGGATGGTGAACCAGTTAGCTGGTCCAGTGTGTGATGCTGGAAGGATGTTGAACCAGTTAGCTGGTCCAGTGTGATGCTGGAGGGATGGTGAACCAGTTAGCTGGTCCAGTGTGTGATGCTGGAAGGATGTTGAACCAGTTAGCTGGTCCAGTGTGTGATGCTGGAGGGATGGTGAACCAGTTAGCTGGTCCAGTGTATGATGACTGTGAGCTACCAGGTATGATGCTGGAGGGATGATGAATATGGAGCAGCTGGCTGGTTCATTGTATGATGAGGACTGAGTGGTACCGGGTATGATGCTGGAGGGATGAATGTGAAACAGCTGGCTGGTTCACAGTATAATGAACACTTGAATACCAGGTATGATGCTGGAGGGATGATGAATGTGGAGCAACTGGCTGGTTCACAGTATGATGAAGACTGAGTCAGTGGGAACTTAACTCTTGGTGTTATGTCTACCAATATGCAGTGGCACGCTTACCTGCTCTCTCACTTGCTCTCTTTTCTCTATCTTTCTCGATGCTCTCCACTAGTGCACACCTCAACAAAATACTGATACTCATAATTGGTCTCAGGCCATCTACGAGAAGTCCAAATTTGGCAGCGATAATGTTCAAGATACTTCGCAGATGCCAAGAGATGATACAAAGGTAGAAAACGATATTTTGATTATTTAACCCGAAGAATAGGTAACCTAGCATAATCCAAAGCCACAGTGGCTTACTTCCATTGGTTCCTTTGATTCTCTTCCCCATAATGCTAACTACAAGTCAGTTAATGCCCAGGTACCTACTTAATTCTAGGTGAACAGAGGCAACAGGTGTAATAATTATAATAATAATCTTTATTTCTACAAGTACATGATACAACTTATACAGACCATATCTTACATCAATGACATACTACTCTAGAAAGCCCCTTGTGCACAGCATTTCCGGCAAATTAGTTTAATTTTGTCCTCAGGATGCGACCAACACCAGTCGGCTAACACCCAGGTACCTGTTTTACTGCTAGGTGAACATGGACAACAGATGTCTTAAGGAAACACGGACCTCTGTGTGTGAGCTGAATGCACTACCAACCCAGCTACGGGTCACCTTAAGTAACTAAGTTTACTTAGGTACAGCTAATCATAAATACAGTTACACAAATTATCATTCATAGTACATATGTGTAAATTACCTATCATAACCAATAAAAAAGTCAGACAGTGACTTATTTCCATTAGCGAACATGTTAGGCATCTCAACCCACCCCAGGATCAAACCCGTGTTGTTCTGTTATGAGCCGATGGAGCTGCCACTAAGCCATGAGACACAGATAACAAGAAATGTTCCTGATATTTATTATAATGTTGGTGGGGGAGCACTGATACCGATAATCAAGGGGAAGCGCTAAACCCGTAGGATTATACAGCGCCTGGGGGAGGGATGTGGAAGACATTCAGGCTTAATTCGGGGAAATGGAGCACAGATCCAATCCCCTAAATCAAGAGCCCCTCACCAACATCAAGGAACCTTCCTGAGAGGGGAGCGCTAAACCAGTATGGCAGCAGAAGCTCCAGAAATTCTATATAGGGAGTTTAGGGAGCTTACAGAGTTTAGGGGGCTTCACCCCCCTTTTGTGCTGTCACTGTCCATTGGGTTCATTAAGTGCCTGAGGAATGGAAGGTAATCAGGTTCGATCCAAGGAGAGGTCTAGTTCAGTTCCTTGGATCAAGAGCCCCTCACTGGCATCAAGAAACCTCCCTTGAGAGGTCTTGGTTTGATATTGTATTATTATTTTATTATTATTATTATTGCTATCATCAAAACTAAGTACTAAACCCACAAGGGTCATACATCATATTATTTTGGAGGTTGATGGAGGTGATGGGGTTTGATGAAGATAATGGGGATTGATGGAGATGATGGGGGTTGATGGCAATGATGGAGGTTGGAGATAATGGGGGGTATCAGCCCCCCCTGGCTTACTCTTTCATCATTGCAGTACATGGCATACATCAAAATTTCATGCATGCCTTTTTTCACTCCTGGTAAAACAAACTGGAGGATGTGCTGAAGTGCACTGTCCAGGGCAAGCTACAGCTCCAGGGTCAGGGATAAAAAGAAAAACAAGTCTCTCTTTTTAATTTTAGTAAATTTTTTTTTTCAACAAGTCGGCCATCTCCCACCAAGGCAGGGTGACCCAAAAAGAAAGAAAATCCCCAAGAAGAAAGTACTTTCATCATTCAACACTTTCACCACACTCACACATAATCACTGTTTTTGCAGAGGCGCCCAGAATACAACAGTTTAGAAGCATATATAAAGATATACTAACATATTCCTCCAAACTGCCAATATCCCAAACTCCTCCTTTAAAGTGCAGGCATTGTACTTCCCATTTCCAGTACTCAAGTCCAGCTATGTAAAAATAACTGGTCTCCCTGAATCCCTTCACTAAATATTACCCTGCTCACACTCCAACAGCTCCTCAGGTCCCAAAAACCATTTGTTTCCATTCACCCCTATCTAACACACTCACGCACGCTTGTTGGAAGTACGTATATGTGGTAAATAAAACAAAAATTATTACAGTATGCTTTTATTATAAAATATGTCAAATCCCCTAGGAACAGTATCACAAATTTTCCCCTATTTACAAACTTACAATATACTGTATATACACTATGTATATATTTTTTTCCAACACACTGGCCATCTCCACTGAGGCAGGGTGACCTAAAAAGAAAAACAAAAGTTTTTCCTTTTACATTTAGTAATTTATACAGGAGAAAAGGTTACTAGCCCCTTGCTCCCACAATATTTTTCATTAGAAAAATTCACACATATCAACCAGTAATAGTAATGCCGGAGAGCTTGCCTACAAAACAGCTCATCGTACTCAAGGCACACAAACCCAGCTGGCATTTACTTATAATGAAAACTTTCAGAGCTTATTAAAAAATAACAGGATTGTGTTTCTATTTTTGCACATATTTTAAAATATTTATCAACACAAAACTGATGGACAACTTATGGTATGCACTGTCTATCAGTTTATTTCTAGTATACAGTGGACCCCGGTTATCGCGATTAGTCCGTTCCAGAGTGTGTGACTAAAGCCGAATTTGATGGTATCCAAATTCATTTTCCCCATAAGAAATGCTGTAAATCCAATTAATCAGTTCCAGGCACCCAAAAGTATTAAAAAAAATAATTTTTTTACATGAAATATACATTTACCTACACAGAAAACAATGAGACATGAAGCATAAAACAATAATAACATGACACTCTCCTTTATTGAAGACTTGTTGATGTATGGAAGACGGAAGGAGGGGAGAGGATGGAGGCGTTACTATTGTTTGGAAGGGGAATCCCCTTCCATAAAGACTTCAGGTACCAAGTCCTTTTCTGGGGTTACTTCCCTTCTTTATTTTTTAATGCTACTAGTACCAGCTTGAGGGTCACTGGACCCTTGTCACTCAAAAAATTGTTAGAGAGAGCTCTGTTTCTGGCGTTTCTTTAAAATTTCCCTAAAATGGGACATGACATTGTCATTGTACATGTTGCCAACACGGCCTATAACAGCTCTCTCCACTTTGTACAAATGTCCTTAATCTTTGAAGAAGGCACCTTCTTCCTGTCTTTCATAGGCTTGTGTCCTGGAAGTGCCTTTTCCTCCTGCGTGGTGTAGGTCCTCTTTGGCATTTTCTTCCAAAAGAGGCCTGTTTTGTCACAACTGAATACTTGCTGGGGTTTGAATTGTTCAGCCTCTATGTATCCCTTGAATTCCTGAATGTATTTTTCAGCCAAATATTTGTCAGAACTTGCAGCCTCGCCATGCCTTACCACACTGTGTATGCCACCAGGCTTCTTAAATCTCTCAAACCAGCCTTTGCTGGCCTTAAATTCACTAACATTAGCACTAGTTCCAGGCATTTTCTTTACGAGATCATGCAACTGCCTTGCCTTTTCTCAAATGATCGACTGCATAACACTATCTGCTACTAACTGTGTTTGGTTGAACCACGCCAACAACAAAGTCTCCACATCTTCGAGTATTTGTGATCTCTTTTGTGAGCATATTTGTACCTTTCGCAACAACAGCTTCCTTGATTTCCTTTTTCTTGGCCACACGATGGTTGTATGGGATTTCTTATACAACCTGGCAAGCTCTGCCACACGTACTCCACTTTCATATTTTGCAATGATGTCTTTCTTGAATTCTATAGTGTTTCTCACCTTTTTTACCAAAGGGCTGGCACTAGAAGCTTTCTTTGGGCCCATGGTGGCTTATTTACCAGTTGCAAGGACAAAAAAAGAATGGAATATTACAAAATGTATTGTATGAACAAGTGGGGTGACAGTCACTTGCTGATAAACAAAGGCAGACTGACTGTGAATGGTGTGGGATGGTGTGTGGGGCCACTCGTACGTGTTTGGGATGAAAGACTATTACCGAGGTAAATGATGATCACTGAGCCAATATTTTCACAAAAAAAATTTACGATTGCCAATTACGAAATCTGATGACTACGATATCCAGGGGGGTCCACTGTATATATAAAATTTCCCAGGGCTATTTGGTATACAGTAGAACCCCCGTATCCACGGATTCAGTTTCCAAGGTTTACCATGGCCCAAAAATAACCCTTAATTTTCTTTAATAATGGCCTCAGAGCACAACAGTAGTGATGTGGCAGTTCTTTAAAGCTTAAGAGAAGACAAGAAGTGCTTCCCATCAGTAAAAAGTGCTTATTGTGAAAATTTATCAATTAATCTTTATCATAGGTATGTATGTAAATGAAAAAGGACTTACACGTAGGGTTCGCTACTATCTGCAGTAGGTCTTGGAACATTATCCCTCGCGGATACAGCGGGACTATTGCACATAAGCTGTTGTTTAACTACCAATATACACTACTGCCCTATACAATACGTATTGTATTGACAAAGCATAAGCAAGAGTTAAATGAATTTCAAAAATATAATTGAGCTTAAGCTCATCTTACAATGATACATTGTAACATTATTGCATTCATGGGGAGGAACGCTAAACCCTTAGGGGTCAGACAGCGTTTAGAACAGAAGATAATCAGATGTGATCCAAGAAAAGGGATAACTGGTCTTATTCTTTGGATCAAGATATGTTACAATGTACTCCTTTCCCTTGAGGGGAACACATTGTAACATATCAACTACAGTGGACCCCCGGTTTACGATATTTTTTCACTCCAGAAGTATGTTCAGGTGCCAGTACTGACCGAATTTATTCCCATAAGGAATATTGTGAATTAGATTAATCCATTTCAGACCCCCAAACATACACGTACAAACGCACTTACATAAATACACTTACATAATTGGTCGCATTGGGAGGTGATCGTAAAGCGGGGGTCCACTGTATTTAGAGAATTCTACATTACAGTGTAGTAGTAAACAATAATAATTTGGAATTAATAAATTTACTCATTAATTAAACAGGTAATATACACCAGCAGTCCAGCAGTGTGATGATGACATAACGAGTAGGTTATGGATTTTTACTAGAAGAGGCTTCGTCCGTAAGGACTTTATAAATTGATAACACCTATGGAAATAAGTCACTTTTGACTTTTTTGGGTTATCCTAGGTCATTTACACATATGTTACCATGTATGATAATTTGTGTAACTGTGTTTATGTGTATCTGTACCTAAATAATCTTACTAATATCCCTGATGGACAAAACTTCCCAAAATACCTTAACCTGAAAAATGAACACAGCTTAATAGACAACATCAATATTGATAAATAAGCTTTCAAACTTATTTTTCAGTTGTTTTGCTCATGTTGCTGAGGATTTTGTATGTGTCTTTTGAGAAAATGTAACTGATACCAGAACTCAGTGTAGTTGCAGCTGTCAGCCACCTGTAAAATAGAAAAATAATTACAAGGAAATCCTCAGAAATATTTTTTTTATATTCGGCTATTCCAGGAGTTTGATAAAGCTCCTGGAGAGCGAAACGTTGCCACAATAAAATATCACATCAGTTGCACTTGTGTCCTTTTACCTAACTTACCAAACATATTCGAGGCCTGGTCATGGCCCAGGCTGTGAGGGCGTTGACCCCATAGCACCCTCCAGGTATAAAGATATATAATTCCCCTCAAGAGAGGTGTTCCAAGGAATTTGTGCTACTCTCTCCTTCCTTTGAAAAAACTTAATTACCACCCATTCCCCAGGCAGTGCATGAGCCCTATGGATTTAGTGCTTCCTTAACAATATAATAAGATTACTAATCCATGCTTGTTATAGACCTTTGGTTACTCAGAGACCTCTTTCCCTTGGGAAATATATTTGTTAATATAATTTTCATAAATTTGGAAAAATAAAAACACAATTCCAGTTGTAATAAAGTTGGTAGAATTACCGACAATATGTAAAGTAAAAGGACACAAATGCAACTAATGTGACATTTTATTGTGGTAACGTTTTGCTCTCCAGGAGCTATTGCACCTCACTCTGAGCCTATATATACCCTCTGTGCCCATGTACTGTTTGTAATGGCTTGATAAAGCTCCTGGAGAGCGAAACATTGCCACAATAAAATGTCACATTAGTTGCACTTGTGTCCTTTTACTTTACAATTCCAGTTATTTACATCATTACAAGACTACCAGTGACTAACTTGTAACTTCCCTCAACTATATTATATAGATATACATATTTTAATTGTCATAGGAGGCGACTAAACTGCCCTTTTCCTATGTACATTACTAAATTTAAAAAGAGAAACTTTCATTTTTGTTTTTAAGTCACCCAGCCTCAGTGGGATACTGCCAGTTTGTTGGAAAAAAAAACATAGTTATAATGGCACGATAAAACATTTCAGTGATTTACAGTAAGGCTTTTCCTCTAAATTCATGAAGGGGTCATGATCCGAGAGATTTGGTGAATCTTCAAGCCACAAGCAATACAAACTTATGACTACGTAATAAATTCTCCTTCAGATTAACGTTATCAGTTACCAAAAGTATCAATCAGAGGGCTGAGGAGGGGCTGTTGAGGTGGTTTGGGCATTAAGAAAGGCTGGAGAAAAATAGGATGACTAGGGCATATAAATCTGAGGTGAAGGGAAGCTTTAAAAAATACACAAATCTAGTTTATTCAAGGGTTATCCATCATTAAAAGTCCTAGATAACTAAATTCCATGAACTAGGGACAAAGTGAATTTTAGAAGCTTCCCTCACAAAAGATTGTCAGTGTGGGCAACCACAAATTTTTAATTATAGACCTGCATACTACATATCTATATTTCATTTATATATTATAGACTTACCAGAGGCCTTTAAGCAGATAATGATCAGAGAAGCATAAGACTGGTGCAGCCAGAGAAGCTGTGATGAGGCTCAATTGTACAGCAGTGTTGAATTTACTCAATGTCGTGGGAGCTAACTTGGCTGTAGCGTGTGTGGCATCAAAGTAACGTGTGATAGTTCTCTGCCAAAATAATACAGTGCATTTAGTTGAAGAATGATACACGTGCAATATTTAGGGACCTTTATTAAGGAAATATTTCACCAGCCAGTGGCTTCTTCAGTCCAATACAGAGAAGAATGGTGGAAGATGAGAAGGAGCTTGAGTTAATCAGTCCCTCAGCCTGGACTGAATGTATTGACTCCATCTCAAACTCTTCCTCATCTTCCACCATTCTTCTCTGTATAAGACTGAAAAAATCACTGGCTGGTGAAAAGTTTCCTTAATAAAGATTCCCAAACATTCCCAAGTGTCTCATTCCTTAACTTGTCAGTGTTTTCTCAACCATTTACATCACACAGTACATACAGAATTTCAGTACCAGATGGATATATCTACGTTACATTTAATACCTCTATACAGTACTGTACTCCACAAACTTGCTTTAAAATCTAATATAATAAACACTGAACTCTCTTCAACAGCTAAAAATTATTAAATGCAGTACAGTACTGTATAACTATATACTTTATGTCAGTTATACATTATGCATTCATATGCAGTTTATATGAGCATAAAACAGATACTAACTGGAGGGGGAAGGCTCTTGTAGCGTATGTATGAGGCGGCTCCAATAATTAGAACATCACGATAGATGATGAGCCCTGTCAACGGCACTTCAAACACAAAAGATTAAATTGTGATCAAAATGTTACTTCAAAATAGTCATCTATTAATTACAATGTTTGTATTTTCAAATTCAATTTTTTATGAATAGTATACAATGTGTGATTTACATGTTATACTGTTAAGCACAAAGAAAGTCACTAACATGCCTGAGCATTGCAAGCAGACTAATCCTAATGCTTACACACTACTTAAAACTAGACATAGGTGATGGAGTGGTCAATTCTAATTATTCATTTTTTACATTACAAAAGAGAGGTAGCCAAAAAATTTATATTAAAAAGATTTGCAGTAGAGGTAGCAAAAAACTAATAAAAGTATTTTCATTTATTAGAGATTTCTTCAGTGGCATTATTCAAAAACTGTGCATAATGAATGAATTCTTCATTTCATAGTACTATTACCAAAAAAGACCTTTCATATTAAACTTATATATCAATGATGCCTAATTTTCCTCATAACCATTGTAAGGTTTCCAGCCATGATAATCAAGCCACTAACTCACTGTGGTCTTGTGCTCACAAGTACCACACTGACACTACTGGACCGTGCTATGATAAATCTACATAATGTACCATTGTGCAAATTTATACTAATGTTTGTAAAATTATTTGTAGATTTAATGAATAAAGCTTTTATCATGCATATATAGTCCTTCACTTTCATCTTCCAAGATTTTATATCACAACAATATCAATACAGTGGACCCCCGGTTTACGATATTATTTCATTCCAGAAGTATGTTCAGGTGCCAGTACTGAACAAATTTGTTCCCATAAGGAATATTGTGAATTAGATTAGTCCATTTCAGACCCCCAAACATACACATACAAACGCACTTACATAAATACACTTACATAATTGGTCCCATTGGGAGCTGATCGTAAACCGGGAGTCCACTGTATTCTAAAAATGGTTATTAAACACTATGTACAGCTTACAGTTTAAACTTGAAGTGCTATATTATTTTAATATAAATATTTCACATGTGATAATGTTACAAGTGTATGTGTGAAATGTTCTATACACACATACTGCCAATAGCAGTATATAACGAACAGGAATATATTTTACAAACTTACGTGGTATGAGTCCAACATATGTAAGAGAAAGAAACAAGAGAGCTACCAAGACTTTATCTGCCAAAGGGTCAAGGAAGCTTCCAATGTTAGAGGCTTGCCCAGGGAAAGTGCGTGCAATCCATCCATCAAGCTGTGGACAAAAACTGTAGAATCAAATTTGTTGCTTAATCTCATCAGGAAACTCCATATATCAAGCATAGAAAATATTTTAATTTGTTAAAATCTGTGAATAAAGATACACAAGTAACCCACACATAGGAGAATGAAATTATCTGGGGGTTATTTGCATACTGTTCCAGTCATGGTTTTGTGCCTTTCTGACCTAAATATATCTGGAAACAAAGCAGTGATGTGTTACAACCCCAAATTTTAGAATATCAACCAGCAAAAACTTGAGCTAGTAATTTGGGATACACTAAAACTTGACAGAATATAAACCGGTATTTGAAAATGGGGAAGTGGAAAAGAATTCTTCCTCCATAAGCCATGTATGTCTTATGAGGTGATAAAGGGGCTAGTAACCCCTTCTCCTGTATGACTTCATAAATTTAAAAAGAAAAACTTTGGTTTTTCTTTTTAGGTCACCCTGACTCAGTGGGATACAGCTGGTATTGTGAAAAAAAAAATAAATATGTGACCAAATACTAAATTTGGTGCATCCCAATTAGTCTTGGTCACATTCTACTAAGATTTAAAAATCTAGTGAAAATGTATCTTGGTTAACAGTGAAATACATTTAACAGAATGCTAAACTTTACAACTATACACATGCATTTAAGGTGTTAAGGCAATTCTCAAAATAATACACAAAGAGACACACAATACGATAAAATGGACTCTGGTACAGCGGATGTCGCTTTAAAAAAAAAAAATCTATTCAGACAAAGGCTCAAGCTTATTATCAAAATTTTCACATTTTTAGGGAAATTGTCATAAGAGAGCAGCATCAGCATGACAAACAAATTAAGCTGGATTCATTCTTTAAACCTGTTCCTTGTTCTGTCTCCCAAACCATCTACCAGTATGCCTGAACCATCTATGTCTCCTCAGCCATCTACATCCGCTGAACTGTCTAAATCTGCTGAACCATCTACATCTGCCTAACCATGGAAATACTGTACTGTATTGCACATCTGTTAACTCGTCTATCCACCAGAAAAATGTACTGTACTCTATTCTGTAATCTATTGAATTATACTGTGCTGTACTTTTAACTCGTTTTCTTTTCAGGTTCATTTATAGGTAATACAGTACTGTATTGTACTCTAGTTTATTAGTATGTCTGGTAGTCTATCACAACAGTGGACTAAGTCTGTTTTACTGGGCATGTGTCCATGTCTGGTAGTTGCTCAATTAAATGGACTACATCCACTTAATTGTAACATTCTAATTAGCAGAAAATTCGGTAAATTAGTCACTTCCTCCCTCTATTAGTCTATTTTTTCAGACCGTAACTGTATTCTATGGTACAATAGCTTACTTAAATGACCTTAATATTTATATGTACCCTCAAAATAATAAACAAATAGAATGAATGCAATAATACACAGGCACAACACCAATTTACCAACAATGAATTGTCCAGTACCTCCTTTAGTCCAAGCAAACTACTTTTTCCCTAAAATAATTTGCTTGGTGACCACAGATGACACTGCATGTAGTGTGTGCCCACTTATACTGCAGCTGTTGGTGGTGATCCCTTGAGTGTGCCATTCTTAGCATATTTTGCTAACAATTAACCCTAGCTATGGCTGGTCATTACGTCTGTAACTTTTGTAAAATTTTAAAATACCACTTTTGGAATGGTCATACTGCAATGTTCTTTGTAAGTACAGTAATAAAGATGCCTGTTTCATTGTAGGTAATATTTAAGTTTCCAGTAAACCATGATAGGTCAGAGGTGTCTTGTTTGCTCATTATTGTATGACCTCTGTTGGTCCGGCAAAAATCAATATTCCAGCAAAGACTATTAACCAAGGGTGCTGGAAAATAGGTGTTGTACTTGTGTACTAATACAGTGGTACCTCGAGTTTCGTACATAATAAATTCCAGAAGGCTGTTCAAGTGCCGTTACCAAATGAATTTGTTCCCATAAGGAATAATGTAAATTAGATTAGTCTGTTTCAGACTCCCAAAAATACACTCACAAAAGTACTTACAATAATACACTTACATAATTGTTCGAGTTGGGAGCTGTTCGAAACTCGGGGTACCACTGTATACAGCAAGTATCTAGCATACTAGTATAAATGGTGTATCTGGTATATACAGATGTCTAGAATACCAGTATACAGAGTGTATAAAGGGTGTGCCTAGTATACAGGGTATGTCTATAATACAGGGTGTCTAATATGCTAAATAAACTTTACCAACTTCACCCAACTGGTTCCTTGTTATAACAATTGAAAGTTTCTTACCAAGTCGGTGAAGCCAGCAAACATGAAGAGTCCTAGGGCCCAGCTGTAGTTTGAAGAAATGACCAAGTGAACAAGAAGAGGCGAGAACGCAATACGACTGATGCACAGAAAGTTGGGTATCGTCCAGATGTTCTCACGCTGAAATTCACTAATAATTAATATTATTTATACTTTTTTCAATGCACCGGTCATCTCCCACTGAGGCAGGGTGACCTAAAAAGAAAAATGAAAGATTTTCTTTTTACATACTATTGGTATTATTATTATATACAAGGGAAGCACTAAACCCATAGGGGTTATACAGCACCTGGGGGAATGGAGGCATACAGATTTGATTCAAGGAACTGGAGTACAGGTCCAATTCCTTATATCAAGAGCCCCTCACCAGCTTCAAGGTACCTCCCTTCAGGGGAATATATTTATTGGGAAGCACACCTGGGAAATGGGTTGTAATTAGCTTTGATCCAATTCTTTGTATCAAGAGCTCTTCATCAGCATCAAGGCACCACACAAAGGATATACTGTGGCTAAAATATTATCGCAGGAACTAGTCTTGCGGTAAATAATAACATCTTTATTTCTACAGGTACATGTACAAGGTATACAGTCCTAGTTAATATATAAACTATCACAGCACTAAGGAAATGTTGAGTCATACTATTAGGCTCAAAAAGTATATCATTTTAATGTACTGTACTCTGTAACGAGTAACCAAGCTCAATAGTAATTTTACCAAAACACCTTGGGAGTATCCTTTGATCTATGCAAGTCAGGTGAATTAATGGTGAATATACAAAGCTTATATAATAAATGCCAGGTTAAAATTCCTCTACAGACAGGCAGTGCTACCTGCTCATTCATGCAAGACTATGTCTAGCTCTTATGCGTTGACATATAAACTATTCTCTTTTTTCAGAAAACTGAAAAATGGTCTACAATTAATCCAAAAGGAGACGAGATTCATTCATTCATTCTACTGTATATAAAACTCATGAAAATTTTTAAATGATACAAATTTGCTTAATAAATATAGTGATCCTTTAGCAAACTGCAGTAACATAACCTCTCTCTTACAAACCTCAATGATTTCATCCACTTTTTCTCTAACTTTAGCTTTCTTCTCTTTAAAATCCTCAAGAAATTCCTGCCCTGCCTCTCTGATATTCTTCTCCTTTTTTTTCACCACCTCCCATGATGTCACACACTGAAAAAAAAAAAACTTTAACTACTGTTTTATGGATAATTTGATTTACACAAAGTATTGGTAGCAATATATGAAAAGTGAATCAAAATTCTGCAAGAATTGATTGATCAGGCTCTGATCCACCAGGAGGCCTGGTCACAGACCGGGCCGCGGGGGCGTTGACCCCCAGAACTCTCTCCAGGTAAACTCCAGGTCTCCAGAAAACTAAGTTACTGTATATGTATATATTTAAATTTTAGCTCTCAAGGATTGGTTTATTTTAATTCTTATCAGATACACAGCATTGCATGATATTTTTTACCAAACTAATACTTTCTTCCAATATCAGTTTTGCTCAGGATATGTCTCACATCCGCACTGCAAAGAACAAAAAGGCACAATACCGTGACTGGAACAATACACAAATAATCCACACATAGGAGAAACTTCTTACTCTATATGCTCAAATAAATACGAACGATATCAAAGAAGAACAGTATTTGTGTCTAGTATGATTACTCTGTATTCTGTTACACATTTCCAGGAAATGTCCTGGATCAGCATCAACAGTGCAATGCAAAGTCCTGAAGATGTGAAGTGAACAGCATTACAATACACGTATATATTTTATTTTATTTAGATTATTAGCCTCAAAGGGTTAGCGACTTATTTGAAATGGGGTCCTTTTTATGTCCTCTCCAGGATGCAACCCTAAAAAGTCGACTAGCTGCAAAATACCTATTTACTGCTAGGTAACAGAGGCAGCAGGTATCAGGGGGACTTACTCATATTATCTTACGTCTCATCTCATAGTGAGGATTGACCCTATGTTCTCTCTGGCATGAGAAAAAATGCTAACCGCTAAAGTGTACATGGCATTTATATTTAGTAGGTTTAGCGATTTAAAGGTACAGAGTGATGAATAAAAAGTCTGCAATTATTCTGACTGCTGCCTTTCACAGAGTGACAGTTTGCAGTGGGTCGCCAAGGTGTATACCAAGATAAATCCCACATGTGAGGTATGGGTAAATAAGGGAGAAGTGAAATATCAGCAGCGTAATATTGAATTTTAGAGCGTATTCCTACAGTCTTTTGATACTTATATTGAAATGTGTTGGATCTGAGCATTAAATTTCAACATAGTGTTTACAGTTACACCTTGGAATTTCCCTTCACCTACTAGCAAGCAAGTAGGTACCTGGGTGTTAGTCGACTGGTGTGGGTGGCATCCTGGGGGACAAGACTCCCTCGAGAACACACTGACTTTCTTGGGTTATCCTGGGTGACTAACCCTCCGGGGTTAAAAATCCCAACAAAATCTTATATATCAAGGTCTATTATAATCACAGGGGAGCGCTAAACTCGTAGGATGATAAAACGCATTGGAGGGGGGGAATGGAAGGTATTCAGGCTCAATTCAAGGAACCAGAGCACAGATCCAATTCCCTAGATCAAGAGCCCCTCATCAAGGAACCTCCTTTAAGGGAAATATCAAGGTAAATACAATCCATAACCTGTCAATATAGGAATTAGTATTAGTCTGGCATACCTAGGCCTAGTATAAGCCTCCACAATATTTCATAATACACAATAATATTTAATATATAAAACCAAACATTATAATATCAAGAGAGAAATAAATAATAAATTTTAACCTGGGAGTGTGGAGAGTCAGACTTGTGATGGTGTCCTGAGGTACACACATCACCCACAGTAATACCTCGAGCTGTGACACACCTAAATAAACATACATAAGACTTGTCCAGCCATCTGGGAGAACCTGTCAAGCCATTACAAGTATATCTGGCTGTTACACACAAAATGGCTGGTGAAATAAGGCAGCCATGTGAGCTCAGAGGTGACCCCATACGGGTAATATTCCCACAGGAAGATATATGGGGGTTAAAACTGTGGGGAAATATGGTGGTGTGGGGGTGGACACACACTCCTCTATTATATCTCAATAATTGTGCTGTAAACCTGTGGTTTTGTATTATTTTAGTGAGAACAGACGACGCCATTACTCCCACCAACACAAAAACTAATTTATCATATCAATTATTTTTCCACCTATTTTACATAAATATTTACATAAATGATTGTATAAATAAACTACAAACAAATTATATTAACAAGTCTCACTGAAATATATTTCTCATATCAGTACAGGCAAGAGAAGGAGAATTTAATATTTATACGTATATTACATTATTACTAATTTTATTTCATTAATACTTATAAATAAAGTAATTTAGTACATAAATAATTATATTAAAGGCAGTTTGTTATTACTAGTAAATATATGGCAGTAATGGAGTAGTAGTGTAGTTGCCTTTAACCTCATTTTTCAAGCCTTTTAACCCTGCCATTTATATTATAACACATATATTACTTAAAAAAAAGGTAAAATATCCTTTAAATTTGCTTCCTGAGAGTCAGTCTTGGCGGAAATCTTAAACTAACGGAATTTCATGGTCACTACTGTTAACAGCTGCTTATTGCTACCACATATTTTTTTTTTGAGTTAAAATAATATTTATTTTGAGTGTTGTTAATGGCAGCTGTGATGTGAATAATGAAGGAAGATATAGTGTGATAGCTGGCATGATGAGTGATGTATGTAGTGTATGGTAGGGTGAGACCTGAAGCCTACGTGGCACCTATTTAAGGTAGTTAGGTGCCTTCTTGTGCCTGCTGGAACACTGGAGTTTAGTCTACCAGCTGATATAAACCAGTATGGGCGCCCCTGATCTCCTCCTGGTGAGTCCTCTAATATACTCGTAATTTAAGCTATATTCAACACTTGTTTGACTCGTCAAGGGAGGTTCCTTGATGCTGGTGAGGGGCTCTTGATCTTGGGAACTGGAGCTGTGCTCCAGGTTCCTGAATTTAGCCAGAATACCTTCCACATCCCCCACACAGAAGCTGTATAATCCTACGGGTTTAGCGCTCCCCTTTTATTGTAATAACAATGTTTAATAAGATATTACAAGGACCACAATGGAAACAAGTCACTTTTGACTTGTTTTTTGGGTTATCCTGGGTAATTTACACATTTGTTAAACTATATATAATAATTTGTGTAGCTATATATGTGTACTTGTACCTAAATAAACTTATTAAACAGTTTATTTGCCAAATATTGTGGGTTGTTTCCAGGGGGGGAGGGGAACTACTGTTCCTGTTGTGTAAGGAACTCCAGAGCTGCTCCTCTTCCTTGGATCAAACCTTAATGCTGGTAGCAGTTAAGTGTGGATTACAAGGTATCAGCTCAATGCCATATATAATATATTAATTAAAAAAAAACAATAAATTGGTCATGGAACTTTCACCTGGACCGTCAGGGCTGTTATATAACGTGTGTGTGTATATATATATATATATAATATATATATATATATATATATATATATATATATATATTTATATATATATATATATATATATATATATATATATATATATATATATATATATATATATATATAGTACAATTATTATCATGCATAGATTACCTATGATGACCCAAAAAAAAAAAGTCAGGGACTTATTTCCATTGTGTCCATATAAAATTTTATTTAGGCTTTTGTGGACGACCTTTTACAATAATTTTGGTGGAACAGATGTTATGGAGACATAAAGCATACATTATATTATATATATTTAACCTAGGATAACCCAGTATAGTCGAATAATGTAACTTGTATGGAAGGGTCAGGGTTGTCCTGGTATCTCCTTAAACTTCAGTATTGGCTAACATTTACTTGTTCCTGACCTGGGGCCCATACATACCTACTCGTGAAACTGTGGAATTTACCTTAATTATAATCACAGGGAAACGCTAAACCCGTAGGATTATACAGCGCATATGGGGGGGAGGATGGAAGGTATTCAGGGTCAATTCAGGGAACTGGAGCACTGATCCAATTCCCTAGATCAAGAGCCCCTCACCAGCATCAAGGAACCCCTCTTGAGGTTCCCATATAGTTTTTAAGAAGTAAAATTAGATAACCACATGACATTTTAAAAGCTAAGACCAAGGACTGTTTGTCTAACACTCAACATACACCAGAATGTGACGTAATCTTAATGACCTCGACTGTCTGATGAATGGTTTGAAAATCGATAAGTTGAGGACTGAGACATGCAACATATGGGAATCTTTATTGAGGAAACGTTTCGCCACACAGTGGCTTCATCAGTCCAATATAAAGCAGAAAAGTGTAAGGAGAGAAGTTGTGGTAATCAGTCCCTCAGCCTGGAGTTGATATGTTCAGTCCATCAGTCAACTCCAGGCTGAGGGACTGATTACCTCAACTCCTCTCCTTACACCTTTCTACTTTGTATTGGACTGATGAAGACACTGTGTGGCGAAACGTTTCCTCAATAAAGATTCCCATATGTTGCATAAGTGTCTCAATCTTCGACTGTAACAGTATGCCATTTCAGCAGTTTTGTGCTCATTTCATCTCTTACCTGGAGTTTACCTGGAGAGAGTTCCGGGGGTCAACGCCCCCGCGGCCCGGTCTGTGACCAGGCCTCCTGGTGGATCAGAGCCTGATCAACCAGGCTGTTACTGCTGGCTGCACGCAAACCAACGTACGAGCCACAGCCCGGCTGGTCATTAATAACAGGTTAATTTTATTATCTCAACGTAATATGTTTTAATAAAATTGTTCAGTCAAACGAGACTGACATAATGGGTCCAGTTCCTGGACCCATTATGTACCTCTGTAATATTTTGACTACCACCCACAGGATGGGTATGGGACGGGGGTCAACGCCCCCGCGGCCATGTCTGTGACCAGGCCTCATGGTGGATCAGGGCCTGATCAGCTAGGCTGTTACTGCTGGCCGCATGGGGTGCATAATAAACATATTAAACTAAACTTAGGAATCTATATCCATTCACATTTATATTTTATTTAAATTATCAATATACGGCAGTGCTTGGCCACTTTTTTTTTTTTAAGCCATTAGTTAAGTACTGGACTTTTGTTGCTGTATAGTCCTTGTGGCTTAGCGCTTCTTTTTGATTATAATAATAATAATGGACTTTTGTTGCACTCTGGCATTTTGCAAGAATGTGACTTTTTTGCAAGTTTTTCTTTGCGTTTGCATTGCAGTTTTTACCTGGCTGTCCCACACCTGTTTGTACACATTTACCTAGTTTTGTTAACTTGATCTTACTGCGTGCGGCGAGCAGTAACAGTCTGGTTGTTCAGTTCCTGATCCACCGCGAGGCCTGGTCATGGACCCGGCCGCAGGGGCGCTGACCCCCCGAAACACCATCCAGATATACTGGGAAGGGAGTGTCATGATTCTGCCGTAGGGCTCTTCATCCAAGGAATTGAGGCTACTTCCTTTCCTTGGATGAAACCTGTCTACCCCTCATTCCCCAGCCGCTGTATGGCCCCTGTGGGTTTATCTCTTCCCCTTGAATATAATAAGATTGATAACGTTGGTATACGTTTAATTTACAGGTACATTTTTTTAATTTATATTTTTTTTTATATATTCTGTGCATTATTATCTAATATATACATATTTCTACATTCCGTGGTAGTCTTGAGGCTGATAAAGGGCTCTTGATCTGAGGACTTGAAGCTTTACCCTTCATTGAATCAATATTGATTCCCTCCCTCACCTATGTGGTTGCAGGGGTCGAGTCACAGCTCCTGGCCCCGGTATATAAGCCTCGGTAAACCTACTTAAGGTTATCTTAAGACCTTAGCGATGTAATTAGGCTGTTTTATTTTTTTTTTTGCGATTCCTGTGGTTTCTAACGTCGATTTGTGTTGTGCTCTATCTCTGCAGCCTAGTGTGGGTCCCGAGGATGCCGAGAAGCCGCTATATGATCCAGAGATCTTAACCAGACTGGACTGGTCAGAGGTCACTCACATGAAGGGAGACGTGACCTCGGCCAGACCAGGAGATGGACTCTGTGTTCGTCCACTCTGTAAGGCTGATTATGATAAAGGTAAGTTATCCTGCTTATACTGCAGGTTATTTAGGAAGGTGGCTTATTATAGGTGACCTTATATATGCTTTCGTGTTTACCTGGAGTTTACCTGGAGAGAGTTCCGGGGGTCAACGCCCCCGCGGCCCGGTCTGTGACCAGGCCTCCTGGTGGATCAGAGCCTGATCAACCAGGCTGTTACTGCTGGCTGCACGCAAACCAACGTACGAGCCACAGCCCGGCTGGTCAGGAACCGACTTTAGGTGCTTGTCCAGTGCCAGCTTGAAGACTGCCAGGGGTCTGTTGGTAATCCCCCTTATGTGTGCTGGGAGGCAGTTGAACAGTCTCGGGCCCCTGACACTTATTGTATGGTCTCTTAACGTGCTAGTGACACCCCTGCTTTTCATTGGGGGGATGGTGCATCGTCTGCCAAGTCTTTTGCTTTCGTAGTGAGTGATTTTCGTGTGCAAGTTCGGTACTAGTCCCTCTAGGATTTTCCAGGTGTATATAATCATGTATCTCTCCCTCCTGCGTTCCAGGGAATATAGGTTTAGGAACCTCAAGCGCTCCCAGTAATTGAGGTGTTTTATCTCCGTTATGCGCGCCGTGAAAGTTCTCTGTACATTTTCTAGGTCAACAATTTCACCTGCCTTGAAAGGTGCTGTTAGTGTGCAGCAATATTCCAGCCTAGATAGAAACAAGTGACCTGAAGAGTGTCATCATGGGCTTGGCCTCCGTAGTTTTGAAGTTCTCATTATCCATCCTGTCATTTTCTAGCAGATGCGATTGATACAATGTTATGGTCCTTGAAGGTGAGATCCTCCGACATGATCACTCCCAGGTCTTTGACGTTGGTGTTTCGCTCTATTTTGTGGCCAAATTTTTGTACTCTGATGAAGATTTAATTTCCTCATGTTTACCAATCTGAGTAATTGAAATTTCTCATCGTTGAACTTCATATTGTTTTCTGCAGCCCACTGAAAGATTTGGTTGATGTCCGCCTGGAGCTTTGCAGTGTCTGCAATGGAAACACTGTCATGCAGATTCGGGTGTCATCTGCAAAGGAAGACACGGTGCTGTGGCTGACATCCTTGTCTATGTCGGATATGAGGATGAGGAACAGATGGGAGCGAGTACTGTGCCTTGTGGAACAGAGCTTTTTCACCGTAGCTGCCTCGGACTTTACTCTGTTGACGACTACTCTCTGTGTTCTGTTAGTGAGGAAATTATAGATCCATCGACCGACTTTTCTGTTATTCCTTTAGCACGCATTTTGTGCGCTATTTACGCCATGGTCACACTTGTCGAAGGCTTTTGCAAAGTCTGTATATATTACATCTCCATTCTTTTTGTCTTCTAGTGCATTTAGGACCTTGTCGTAGTGATCCAATAGTTGAGACAGACAGGAGCGACCTGTTCTAAACCCATGTTGCCCTGGGTTGTGTAACTGATGGGTTTCTAGATGGGTGGTGATCTTGCTTCTTAGGACCCTTTCAAAGATTTTTATGATATGGGATGTTAGTGCTATTGGTCTGTAGTTCTTTGCTGTTGCTTTACTGCCCCCTTTGTGGAGTGGGGCGCTGTATAGTCCTTGTGGCTTAGCGCTTCTTTTTGATTATAATAATAATAATGTGGAGTGGGGCTATGTCTGTTGTTTTTAGTAACTGTGGGACGACCCCCGTGTCCATGCTCCCTCTCCATAGGATGGAAAAGGCTCGTGATAGGGGCTTCTTGCAGTTCTTGATGAACACAGAGTTCCATGAGTCTGGCCCTGGGGCAGAGTGCATGGGCATGTCATTTATCGCCTGTTCGAAGTCATTTGGCGTCAGGATAACATCGGATAGGCTTGTGTTAATCAAATTTTGTGGCTCTCATAAAAAAATCATTTTGATCTTCGACTCTCAGTCTGGTTAGCGGCTTGCTAAAAACTGAGTCATATTGGGACTTAAGTAGCTCACTCATTTCCTTGCTGTCATCTGTGTAGGACCCATCTTGTTTAAGTAGGGGCCCAATACTGGACGTTGTTCTCGATTTTGATTTGGCATAGGAGAAGAAATACTTTGGGTTTCTTTCGATTTCATTTATGGCTTTTAGTTCTTCCCGCGATTCCTGACTCCTAAAGGATTCTTTAAGCTTAAGTTCGATGCTTGCAAATTTCTCTGACCAGTGTCTCCCTACGCATTTCAGATATATTGACCTCTTTTAGCCGCTCTGTTATTCTTTTTCGTCGCCTGTAAAGGGAGCGCCTGTCTCTTTCTATTTTACATCTACTCCTCCTTTTTCTTAGAGGAATAGCCTTGTGCATACATCGAGTGCCACCGAGTTAATCTGTTCTAGGCATAAGTTGGGGTCTGTGTTGCTTAGTATATCTTCCCAGCTTATATCGGTTAGGACTTGGTTTACTTGGTCCCACTTTATGTTTTTGTTATTGAAGTTGAATTTGGTGAATGCTCCCTCGTGACTAATCTCATTATGTCGGTCTGGGGCTCCGCGCATACATGTCTGAACCTCAATTATGTTGTGATCTGAGTATATGTTTTTGATATGGTGACATTTCTTATCAGATCATCATTGTTAGTGAAGATGAGGTCTAGTGTATTCTCCAGTCTAGTAGGCTCTATTATTTGCTGGTTAATTTGAATTTTGTGCAGAGATTTAAAAGCTCGCGTGAGTGTGAGTTTTCATCAGAGCTGCCTCCTGGTGTTATTACTGCAACAATATTATTTGCTGTATTCCTCCATTTTTTGGTGCCTTAAGTTGAAATCCCCCAGGAGCAAGATGTTGGGTGCAGGAGCTGGAAGATTTTCCAGACAGTGGTCAATTTTAACAGCTGTTCCTGGAATTGCTGGGATGTTGCATCCGGAGGCTTGTAGACTACCACAATGACTAGGTTTTGGTTCTCGACCTTTACTGCTAAAACTTCCACTACATCATTTGAGGCATTTAGCAGTTCTGTGCAAACAAGTGACTCTGCAATGTACAGGCCAACCCCCCCCCCTTTTGCCTGTTCACTCTGTCACATCTGTATAGGTTGTAACCTGGGATCCATATTTCGTTGTCCAAGTGATCCTTTATGTGGGTCTCAGTGAAAACCGCGAACATTGCCTTTGCCTCTGCAAGCAGTCCACGGATGAAAGGTATTTTGTTTGTTGTTGGCTTTAGACCCTGTATATTTGCCAAGAAGAATGTTATCGGACTGGTGGTATTGTTGGTACTGGGGGGGGTTTTTTTTCCGGCATTAGTATCTGTATCTGTTGGTTTGGAGTGGAGGCCATCGACTGTGGTTCCACTCCAGGAATGACTGGATTTGGTGTACGATTTCTGCCATTTCCTGCCAGTTTTTTTTCCTTCCTGGCACTAAAAAACCTCTCCCTCTTGAGTGGCTGTGGCTACCCAGGTTTTCCCATGGCCTGGATGTTTTGTATCTTTTTGTCCCCTTTAGATGGTATGCCTGGCAATTTAAGTTATAGCACAGTCTTTCCTGTACTGAAGAGGTACACCAGTTCAGGGTGTAAAAAGCTTACAGGAAGGGAGTTTGCATTTTCCTGTTGTCATATGGGCATGGCATTTTCTAGGGTGGTCATAGTTGCACGTCCCATCTGTTTTTCCAGATTTCCCATGCCAGCAGGTACCGAGTACATAGTATGTGCACAGGCTTGGTTTCCGTTTGCCTTGGGTTTCTGTGACTGTATTCCCTGTTGGTGCATGTTTCCCTGTCTTACTTCTATCCTCCCTAGCACCAACAATGGAGCTCCCACCAGTTGTTTTTGGTAATATATCCTCACTATTGCTAGTGGAGTCCTCTTGTTTGCTATTTCCTGCGGTATTTCTAGTTTGCAATATTGGTTTTATCTTATCTTTGAATACACTTGTGTGTGTGTGTGTACTCACCTAGTTGTACTCACCTAGTTGAGGTTGCGGGGGACGAGTCCGAGCTCCTGGCCCCGCCTCTTCACTGATCGCTACTAGGTCACTCGCCGTGAGCTTTATCATACCTCTGCTTAAAGCTATGTATGGATTCTGCCTCCACTACATCACTTCCCAAACTATTCCACTTACTGACTACTATGTGGCTGAAGAAATACTTCCTAACATCCCTGTGATTCATCTGTGTCTTCAGCTTCCAACTGTGTCCCCTTGTTACTGTGTCCAATCTCTGGAACATCCTGTCTTTGTCCACCTTGTCAATTCCTCTCAGTATTTTGTATGTCGTTATCATGTCCCCCCCTATCTCTCCTGTCCTCCAGTGTCGTCAGGTTGATTTCCCTTAACCTCTCCTCGTAGGACATACCTCTTAGCTCTGGGACTAGTCTTGTTGCAAACCTTTGCACTTTCTCTAGTTTCTTTACATGCTTGGCTAGGTGTGGGTTCCAAACTGGTGCCGCATACTCCAATATGGGCCTAACGTACACGGTGTACAGGGTCCTGAATGATTCCTTATTAAGATGTCGGAATGCTGTGTGTGTGTGTGTGTGTGTGTGTGTGTACTCGTGTATTTGTGGGTGCAGGGGTCGATTCACAGCTCCTGGCCCTGCCTCTTCGCTGGTTGCTGCTAGGTCCACTCTCTATGAGCTTTATCATATCTCTTCTTAAAGCTATGTATGGATCCTGCCTCCACTACATCACTCTCCAGAGTGTTCTACTTCCTTACAACTCTATGGCAGAAGAAATACTCCCGAACATCCCAGTGACTCGTCTAAATCTTCAACTTCCAGTTGTGATTCCTCTGCTGTGTTCCATCTCTTGAAACATCCTGTCCCAATCTACTTTGTCAATTCCTCTCAGTATTTTGTATATCGTTATCATGTCCCCCATATTCCTCCTGTCCTCCAGTGTCAAGTTGATTTCCATTAACTTCTCCTCGTAGGATATACGATGATTATTTTTTTCCCAGGTGCTGTGACTTTTGGGTTTGGTGCCTCGTCCTAAATATAATAATTGTTACTGTATATTACCAACATTTCTGTTATGTTTAATGTAATACAAAATCACTTTTGTTATAATATTTCCTTAAATGATGCCAGTAACTGGAATCTAACTTAATACCTAATAATTCCCAGACATGGTATTTCACCCATGAAAATTATATTCCGCTAATAATAATTAATAATAATTCACTCTTGCAGGCTTCTTGCAGCTTTTGGGACAGCTTACTAAGCTGGGTGACATATCACGGGAAAAATTCAATGGTGAGTAAGACAAAACACTTAAATAAGATCACCTTGCTGTTATTAGCCAGACATGTTCATGTAACTTGACTTAAGAAATCGTAATGACACGATTGCAAATAAACCATACCCCCGGCCGGGATTGAACCCGCGGTCATAGTCTCAAAACTCCAGCCCGTCGCGCTAGCCACTAGACCAGCTAGCCACAATAAGATTCATCCAACTAGGTATATTTCTACACCATAGGAAAGTTAGCACAGGCACCTCTGTGACCACAAATGCAAGTTTTTACAGACGAATCTCCAGCTAGCGTGGCCGTGACGAACTCTAGCTCAAGTCCCTTCACTGCCGTCAACATGACTTAAGAAATCGTAATGACACGATTGCAAATAAACCATACCCCCGCCGGATTTTAACCCGCGGTCATAGTCTCAAAACTCCAGCCCGTCGCGCTAGCCACTAGACCAGCTAGCCACAATAAGATTCATCCAACTAGGTATATTTCTACACCATAGGAAAGTTAGCACAGGCACCTCTGTGACCACAAATTTCAAGTTTTTTACAGACGAATCTCCAGCTAGCGTGGCCGGACGAACTTCTAGCTCAAGTCCTTCACTGCCGTCAAACCTGACATTAAGAAAATCGTAATGACACCATTGCAAATAAACCATACCCCCGGCCGGATTGAACCCGCTGTCATAGAGTCTCAAAACTCCCCCCGTCGCGCTAGCCACTAGACCAGCTAGCCACAAATAAGAATCATCCAACCTAGGTAAATATTTCTTAACACGGCACGCTAGCTGGAGATTCGGCGTAAAAACTTGCATTTGTAGGTCACACGAGGTTGCCTGTCTAACCTTTCCTATGGTTTAGAAATAATACCTAGTTGGATGAATCTATTGTGGCTAGCTGGTCTAGTGGCTAGCGCGACGGGCTGGAGGTTTTGAGAACTCTATACCGCGGGTCATCCAGGGGGGGGGCCGGGGTATGGTTTATTTGCAATCGTGTCATTACGAATTTCATAGTCAAGTTGACGCATTGAAGGGACTTGAGCTAGAGTTCGTCAGCGGCCACGCTAGCTGGAGATTCGTTCGTAAAAACTTGCATTTGTGGTCACGAGGTGCCTGTGCTAACTTTCCTATGGTTTAAAATATACCTAGTTGGATTGAATCTTAATTGTGGCTAGCTGGTCTAGTGGCTACGCTGACGGGCGGAGTTTGAGACTCTATGACCGCGGTTCAATCCGGCCGGGGGTATGGTTTTATTTGCAATCGTGTCATTACGATTTCTTAAGTCATGTTGACGGCAGTGAAGGGACTTGAGCTAGAGTTCGTCACGGCCACGCTAGCTGGAGATTCGTCTGTAAAAACTTGCATTTGTGGTCACAGAGGTGCCTGTGCTAACTTTCCTATGGTGTAGAAATATACCTAGTTGGATGAATCTTATTGTGGCTAGCTGGTCTAGTGGCTAGCGCGACGGGCTGGAGTTTTGAGACTCTATGACCGCGGGTTCAATCCCGGCCGGGGGTATGGTTTATGTTCATGTAAGGTCACCAGGACGGTTCCTGACCTGGGTCTCCGCCACGTGGGTAAGACAGACACTGTGAACGTTGTCTTGCCAGTACCTTCATAGGTTACTGTGTATAAACGGGTTTAGTGCTTCTCCTTGAGTATAATAATAAAAATTCGTATATCAGTCAAACCTAATTACTTTCCAGTTTCCATAGCTGACATCCTCATGAATGTGTGTGTGTAATAAATAAATAAATTATTAAATATATATATATATATATATATATATATATATATATATATAATATATATATATATATATATATATATATATATATTATAATAATAATAATCATGGGTGTGCTTTGTTTATAGATTTGCGTGATGAATTATTTAACTGCATGACTGTTCAGCTATACCCCTCAAGGAAGGTTCCTTGATGTTGGTGAGGGGCTCTTGATTTAGGGAATTGGATCTGTGCTCCATTCCCCTAATTAAGCTGAAATTGCGCTTTCACATCTCCCCCCCCCCAGGCGCTGTATAATCCTCCGGGTTTAGCGCTTCCCCCTTGATTATAATAATGTTCAGCTACACTTAATACTGTCACATTTTTATCGTCAAAATTACTATAAAGTTTTTTCAGATGTTTATCAAAAGATCAGTAGACGCATAAATCATCTGATAACGATAAGATAGTTAGAAAAATGACTTAGATGTATTAAACTGAGACACCTCGATGCTAGCCCCGTCAAGGTCCTATGATGTCATAAGGGCTTTGATTCAGGTAATTGAACCTGACCTTTTCATTTCTAGGGTCATCATTGCTGTGTGAGAACACCCCTATTGGGTTTTAGCGTTAGATTTAGATTGTGATAATAGGACCGAATCTACGTCCCATACAGATTTAGTGCTTCTTGGGTGCAATAATGCCAAACACTAGTTACATTTAGATTAAAGTTGTAAGAATTGCAACACCACTATTGTGCCAAGTGGAATATGTTAAGGTAATCAAGATCCATCTTACATAGTTCAACCTCCACAAAGACTGATGATTAAGACATGTGCAGCAGTTAAGTATTTTTACTGTTGAAACATTTTGCCTACTTAGTAGGCTTCTTCAGTCAGATACAGAGGCAGCAGGTGTACTAGTGAAATAAAGATGATGTAATCAGTCCATCAACCTTGGAGAAAAAGTATTTGAGGTGGTCAGTCCCCCCAGCCTGGAGAAGAGTTCAGCTCCATGATCTGGAACGATATCGTTCCAGACCATGGAAGTCAGGTATTGGATTAAATGAATAAGTAAGTTTATTTAGGTATACACAAATACAGTTAGTATATAGATTATCATACATAGCAGCATATGTATAGAGAACCTATGAAAACCCAAAAAAGTTCATTCTAATGTCTGCCTATTGATGCTATTAACAACCTTCACATGTTCAACATTACATGTTGGCTTCTCGTGGTGAATAATTGCTAGTAAGAGTCACTCTCACCTTGCAGCTTCATCTGCTGGGTTCTCAACTTTCTCCTCTCAGTGCTACTGAAAGGACTCGTGTCTAGGAATTGAACCTGACCTCATTACCTCCCCTTCCCCAGGTGCTGTGACCCCTGTGGATTTAAAGGTTCTGCATCAGTATTACCTTGAGGTTTACCCAGAGAGGGTTTTGGGGGCCAACGTCCCCACGGCTAGGTATAGTAATAATTATTTATCATGGGGAACGCTAAACCCGTAGGGATTACACAGCACCTGTGGGGGGGGACGGAAGATATTCAGGCTTAATTCAGGGAACTGGAACACAAATCCAATGCCCTGGATCAAGAACCTCTCGCCAGCATCAAGGAACCTCCCTTGAGGGGTATAGTAGTAGTAATAATAATAATAAAACTATGTATATTTATTGTTGGCTTGACCTGGGTTGTACCCCAATGGAAATAAGCCACTTTGTCTGACTTCTTTGGGTTATCCTGGCTTCTCTACACATATGCTGCTATGTATGATAATATTTGTAACTGTATTTGTGTATACCTGGAGTTTACCTGGAGTATATATACCTGAAAAAACTTACTTATTGGGTGTAACTTGGCTACTGGTCCGACAGTGACCTTGATGAAAATGTTGTACCTTCCTGGTGTCTACTGACCTTTGTCTCACCTCTCCCACTATCATTCTTGTCAGTCTCCTTCTGTACTGACTATTTTATACATTGTCCTCTGTTTCCTTATTATTTATTATAGTTAAGATAGTGTTAAGCCAGTAAGGGTCATACAGCAGCCTGGAGGTAATCAGTCCTTTATATGGAAGGGGAGGTTTGCTCCATTTGCTTGGAATGAGAGCCCTTTACCAGCACCAAGGCACTCCCTTCAAGGGAGCTTATTGATGGTAAAGGGGTCTTCAATAAGGTGTCCCATAGCATGATTGCTAGCACACTCGGCTCACACATTGAGGTTCGGGGTTCAATCCCCGGAATGGGTGGAAACATTAAGATGGTTTCCTTAAAGACACCTGCTATCCATGTTCACTCTAGCAGTATAATAGGTACCTAGGTGTTAGTTGACTGGTGTGGTTCACATCCTGGGACAAAACTGACCTAATTTCCCCAAAATGATCTGCATAACAAAGGGATTTCTATATAGTAATGTCATTGTTGTCAGCTATGATCTGTATACCTTGTACATGTACTTGTAGAAATAAAGATTATTATTATTATTGTTGTTATTAAGTGAACTGGAGCTACCTGTTTCTTGAATCAAATTGATGCTCTCCTTTCCCCCCCCCTTTTTTTTATCCCTATATTTCCAGGCTTGTGTAATGACTCCTACAGGTGTAGTGGTTTGTAATATTTACCAGGCATCTTACATGTTCATGAGACAGAAAAGACGAGCAATCCTGCCAGAGTGCCGAACGTTTAATAAGCTTCGGTTCCCCCACCTTCACTCACATGACCCGGCGGGATAGTTGTCTACCAGTCACTGGTGACCCGTTCAGTGGTGGTTGCTGGTAGCTGGTCTTCATGTAGTATTGGTAGTGGTGAGAGGTACACACAGGTACAATTATCATACACGGTAACATGTGTAAATTACCCAAAATACAGTGGACCCCCGCTTAACGATCACCTCCAAATGCGACCAATTATGTAAGTGTATTTATGTAAGTGCGTTTGTACGTGTATGTTTGGGGGTCTGAAATGGACTAATCTACTTCACAATATTCCTTATGGGAAAAAATTCGGTCAGTACTGGCACCTGAACATACTACTGGAATGAAAAAAGTTCGTTAACCGGGGGTCCACTGTATTCCTTCCATTGAGTCTTTGTGATGTATATTATTTAAAGCCTAGGTTTAAATTATTTGGTGTTTGGTGAGGATGGTTGTTTTAGTAGTAGTATTGGTGGTAGGGGTGGTGGTTGGTGTGGTGGGGAAGAAGACAAGGTTATTGAAGTTTCTCAAGGTAGACAAGTATCCAGTTACTTTACTGGCTTCTGTAATAAGCTAATTCTATTTGTGGG